AGAAAAGGTTAGAAGAAAAATATACTATTGACCATTTCTGTCTGTAATCCTATGTAATGCCAGCATGAAGCTTCTCCAAACAGATTACCACCACAAATAAGATTACCCTCAATAGTTTCTAACCCTTGTTTCAAGCTGGTGTTCAAGCTGGTTTCAAGCCTGGAATTGCTCTGAAAGGTGAGTTTTTTTTTAAATGATACTATGCTTTGCTACTATTTTAAACTTAGTCATATAATAGCAAGTACCAGAGGGTTTGCTTACCAGAGCTAATCTGGTAGCCATCTATCCACTAATGCTATGGGTGAGAAATGCAATGTAACACAAACAAGCCTTTGCCTTATGCCCTAACACTAAAGGTGAAGAGGATGAGCTCACTCTCCCATCTGTGCTAGACTTTGGATACTGTCAAAGTGTTTCAAGGTCAGCATGGTATAAGAGACAGGATCTCATCCATCATCCTTAAGTGAGGGACAAAGGTAGTGGCAAGCTGTCTACCAAAGCAGGACAAAAATGTAGATGACTACAGTGAGTTGAACAAGACACTAGACACTCAAAAACACTAAGAAAAAAAATGATTCATTTGTCTCATGTTCCATTGGATGGCAGTAAAAACTATAAAAGCAAAAATGTACTCTCAAAAATTCAAAATACACACACCTACTGAATTAACTAGTTAAATCAAGAGAAGTACGATTATCAATACTGAGAATAATTAGAATTCAAAGATATAGTCATGTTAGTCTGTAGAATCAGTATGCAGAGAGATCTTGTAGCACCTTTGAGACTAACTGAAAGAAAGAAAATTGGTAGCATGAGCTTTCGTAGACTTCAGTCTACTTCCCCAAATGCATCTGAGAAAGTAGGCTGAAGTCTACGAAAGCTCATGCTGCCAATTTCTTTCTTTCAGTTAATCTCAAAGGTGCTACAAGATCTCTTGACATACTGAGAGTAAATAGTTAGTGGTATAGAGCATATATTTTTAAACACCACACTGATTAAATTTAGCAAATGTGCCTGTTATTCTTCTGAAAGAGTTATCAGAAGAGAAGGGGACCTTTCACAGGGGATTTTATTAGATTCATTGTTTTACTTTTAGAGAGGTATTGGCCATATATTCTTAATGGGATGGAAGAGCAAACGCATTACAACTAGTCCAAGGGATAGAATAATATCCAAGTTACATGCAAAACAGAAATAATCTGGGTAGGTTCAGAAGTCAAGAGCCATACCGGAGGAGAGCTTCTTTAGAGCACAACATCTCTGTTAGCTTGGACACCTCCAGCTGTAACTGTTCATTATGAATCTGTAAACTGTTAACAAAGTCCTCCTGAGACAAAAGAGTGGCCCTGAGTT